CAGGTGTACGTCGCGATGAGGGAGGGCATGCAGTAGGGTTCGGCGATAGCAGCACACATCAGAGGAGAGTAGAACGAATCGATTATAATGATAATATTCCAAAGACAAACGAGCGAACAAAAACGAATAGTTCAATGAGCATTGGAGATCTATCTGGGCACCAAACACGCACCTGGAAGCTCGATGTCTCTGCTGTGCGAGGCATGGTGGTGGTGGTTGGAGTTCGAGAGTGGTTAATGGGAAAGGATGTTTCCGTTTCCGGATCCTGACGTCATTTTGAACCACAACACTATCATCTGCTAAATTTGAGCCATGCTTGCTTGTTTGCATTCTTCGAGAGCTAGGACGACGGGAGTGCCCTAGAGCTCCTCCGTCCATGCCTGAATCGTCTCGGCGGATCCCAGGTGCTGAACTTGAAACGCGCCGCGTCCGGGTTGTGGCTGCAATGTGCACGAAACGAAAGAACTCGCAAGGTGTACTATCATTAGCCCACCTTTGCAAAAATAAATTGATGGCGACCCTACACTCGCAATTCTCGTCAGTTTGCACTCGGAATTGACAGGAAGGTTCATTCCTACTGGAAGATATCGAATCCAGAGTTATTTGAGCTTTGGGGCCGAATTGAGCCTGCAGTGGAGTTGCCGAAGCCAGCGATCAAAAAGGCCCACCTTTGCAAAAAAAAGTTTCGCCTTATGCTGAACTCAGTTTGGCTTCATGTACTCTGAGAAAAATAGTGCTCGACTACTGGGAAGCAGGAGAATCTGAACATTCTTTGCTTCAAGTAAATTGAGGCAGTATTCATGTCGCAAAATATTCCAACTTTTTTTTGCAAAGGTGGGCTGTTTGGCAAAGGTGGGCTAATGATAGTATCCCGCTGGACGACAGACGCTATGTATAGTGAACACGTTTAGCCAGTATCGGTATCACAACTCTTGGCTCTGACTTTTACCCGCCCCACTGTTCTATTTGAAAAACTTGTCATCATCCATGTCGCATTCCGACAGTGACTCCAGCGAGACATCCCAGTTCCCCGTCCTTGACCCTGGGTTCTACGACCAAGTCTCTGGCCAGTTCTAGTTCTAGATAAACAATACCAGCGACCCTCATCTCTAAATAATTTAGGTACATGGCGTAAGCCTGTATCCTCGTCTGAACGTCTACAAAAAGATCCCTCACTGCGCCAGAATACTCCAATATTTTACCACCCGCGAGGGGTTTCTCGAGCTTGAATTCCACCCAAACGGCGACTTGTGGGCGTTCGTTGTGGAGAAGAAACCTCCGTTGGCCACTCGCGTCAATTGGGCGTGGAGATTGCGGAAGGCCTCGCCCAACCTCCATGCCAGTTCGCGTCATCTGGGGCAGACGCCCATTTTTGCAACCTTCTCGTCACCAACGATCTCCACGTCGTTCTTGCCGACTTTGCATATTCCGTCGCGAACCCCGGTCCCATCCATTCTTTTCACGGTGCTGTAAAGATGACGGCACCTCTCCGAAGGAATTACCAAATTCCGCGACGTCATGCCAAAAAAATAGTATTAGCGCCGAACCGATATGCGTTGAATTAGCTCTACAAGTACACTCTCCAATAATGATATATGTGTATGTTGTCTGGTGCGTCTGGTCAGTGAGGAGAGGGAGGAGAAAAAGGCATAGACGGACGGACCTGATCATGAGTTGCTATGATGCCGGATGCCCGCCGCTGCCTCTACGCGCATGACCTCGTCCCTAAGGGCATCGCGCCCCTCCTCGAGCCAGCGGCAGTACTGGACCGCGCGGCACAGGACGCCGCTCTTGCCCTTGCTCTGCCCCTTGCCGCGGTTGCTGCTGCCCTTTGGCCGTCCGCGCTGGGGCATGCCGAGGCCCGGCGCGGAGCCTGCGGGTGCGAGGAGGGCGATGAGCTGGGCGTAGCCGTCGCGGATTGCGTTGCGGCGCTTCTGCTCGCTCATGATGTGGTTGAGGCGCTTCTGCGGCTGGGAGAGCAGGGCCTTGGGGGCGCGCGCGGTGCCGCCGGGCGGGGCGGGGCTGCCGGTGTCGTTGTCGTTGGTGGCGGACGACTCGGAGGCGGCGCTGGGGGTCTCGCTGGCGGGCCGGCGGGCAGCGGCGGACTGGGTGTGTTTCGGCGGCTGCGGGCGCTGCTGCTGCTGCTGCTGCTTTACGCCGGAGGATGCGGAGCGGGTGGAGCGGCGGGGACGGCCCGAGGTGGAGGGCTCTGGTGCGGTGTTGAGGTGGGGGTTGGAGTACGGCGCGAGAGGCGACGGGTACGACTGCTCCTGCGGGTGGTCGCAGTCCCACTCAAAGTCGGTAAAGTTGTCGAGGAAGCCAAGGAAGGTGGACGTCTCTGCCTGCGAGAACAGGTCCGCAGACGCGGGCAAAGGGGGCGCACCGGGGAACAGAGAGGCGTCGAAATCAAACGTGAATTCGGGAGAGAGAAGAGACATTGCAGGTTAAGGTCCGTTTGCCATCAAAGAAATAAAGGGAGAGAGCAACACCGGCAAAGGTAGCCGGTGATCCGAAGCGTGGTGGCACCCCGTGAGAACCTCCTCCGGACCTCTTTATCTCTTACCGCCCGCCCGACCGAAACTCGGCCACCATGTCGGGCCATGAACCTGATCTGGACTTGTCCGAATCCTTGCACCCCCAGCAGCTACAGCAGCAGCCACAGCACCCCCAGCAGCACCAGCTCCAGCACCAGATACAGCCCGCGCCGTCGTCCACGGGGAGCGACGCAGCCCGCAAACGTATTTCTCTCCTCTTCTCCGGAGCAAGAAACACATCTGACGATAAGCGCCCACAGCAAAAGCCCCGTCGGTGCGCCGCGCATGCGTCGCCTGCCACTCCGGCAAGACCCGCTGCAGCGAGGTCCTGCCATGCCAGGTCCGCAGCAAGCCCATTTTTTTATGCGGGAAAAAAAAACAATAGTTTGTAGAACTGCATCAAACGCGGCCTCGGCTCGACCTGCGCGTACCCTGACCCAGAAACGGAGCAGCAGCAGCAGCATGAGCGCGCCGCCGCCGCCGCCGCAGGCGTGTGCCCTTTCCTCACTACTAATAATAACTCTAACCCCACCCAGGCGGCGGCGCCACCTCGACCTTCCCCGCGACGCCCGCGGGCGGCGCGGCCGCGTACGCCGCCGCGCAGGGCGGGCTCACGCTGAGCCACCAGCAGTACTACGACTACAACGGGCAGTTCACCGGCGCGTCGAGCTCGACGTTCCGCCCCGCCAAGCGCGCGCGCACGCTCACGGAGGAGGAGACCGCCGCCATCACGCGCAACTTTAGCCGCGGGGACTTTTTCGTGGGCAATAGCGCGCCGGTGCGCATCGACCCGAGGTTGCCCGTGAGGCTGACGCTGGGGGAGGGGGACCATGTGCAGTGAGTGTTTTTTTGGGGGTTTTTTTTTGATATGAAGAAGTGCTTATTGTTTAACGTTAGCTTCAACGTCGGAAACTATGACGTGCGTATCGCCTTTTCGTCGCCCCCCCCTCCCCTCTGCATTACATTGTCTGCTCACGCTGAATACCAAGTACTAGGTCGCCAACCCGTGAACGCGGCGAACACAACAACACAATCCAACCCACTGTACACACCATGCCATCTACGCCCACATGCCTGCCTGCACAATGTACATACATACTATCGCTTTCTTGCCTGCTTGCGTGTCGTCTGTCTGTCTGTCTGCCTTGTATCTAGCCCTGCCTTATTTATTCAATCCGCTTGCGTTCATTGTCCTTCAATTCCAATTTCCAATTAATACGGGGAAACGTAACGACACTCCCCATCGGCACCGCCGAACGCCGCACGGCGAGTACTCCCATCGGCTCCCCCGTCGACGCCCGCGCCCGCCCGCCAGCCGGTGGCGTATCAATAACAGCATCGATTCTTTTTGAGTTTTTCGGAAATCTCTTGGTCTCGGCTGCAACACCAATACTCTTTGATTGGCGATTTGCGCACCCCAGATGGCGCGGCACAGATAGATAGATGGACAAAATCTGTGTTGGCGGGATTGGATGGGGATGATGCATCTCTGAGGGCTCGGGTGCGCACACGGCCGCGGTTGTACTAAGCCTGGATTAAATAGTCAAACGAATTACATAGATAATCCTGAGTGCGTTCGTTCGTTGCGAACGGTCCGACGAACGTGTACAGGCACGTTAAACGCGGGGAAACAGTTTCGATGTCGATGAGACCCCCGCAAAGTATTACGCAAGTCAATGGAATCAAATTATCAATCAAAAAACGTCGCTTGGGCCGGGGTCCGCGGGGGCAACATGTAAATAGCACAGAATTAGCACACTGCGCTTGAAACGCCGGGGGGGAAAAAAAAAGTCGTCAAGTAAGTTTCAAGTTCAAGTGCGGCGTCCAATCTACAGCACGTACGTTTTTTTCTCTGCCATCATGGGAAATCGCACGATGTCCTTCCGGCTGCGAGCACGGGGAGCGCGCACAGCACGGGGCTGCCCAGGGAACGCTGCTAAACCACAGACTATGGTCAGAACGCACGCAAGCGAGCGATCAGCCGATCCCGGCATCCCCGGCCCCACTACGCTTTCGTCCGCATAAGGAAAGATCGGCACCACGGGGGCTCCCTGCGCGGGGTTATCGGCGAAAGGGAGGGGGCTACATATCGAGCGGTCGGAGGATGTATCAAGTGCAATTTTGTGCTAGAATGAGGAAAAAAGTTGGATCAGTGCAATATATTCAAATCCCGCCCCCTTGACTCCCTTGACCCCAGGAAGGCTTGAAAAACACCGGAGGATGTCACACATTCCTAAGGAACATCCCCCGGCACCAAACATCCTCCCCACGCCCCCTCAAAAGCCCACACCATCCAACGCATCAAAAACACCACCTCCCCATCAAACTGCATATTCCTCTGCACCAGGGCACCCTATCCCTTAAGTTAAAGTGCAAAAAAGACGCACAGGAAGCCGGAGAACCTCGTAAAAGTTCCAACTTTAAAAATAGTGTATGAAAAACGTCCAAAAAACGCAAAACAAAAGATGATGAGAGTGGGATTCGAACCCACGCCCCGGAGGACCAGATTACGTAAGCGTGTGATGCTCATTGGACACTGAAACAGTGCTGGATCCTTAGTCTGGCGCCTTAGACCGCTCGGCCATCTCACCGATGAGATACGGGCTTTTTTGGCGGTGCAGAGAACTCTGGAAGCGAAAAAACAGCAATTGAACAGCTTCTCACTCTTGAGATACAGGCTTTTTTGGCGGTACAGACAACTCTGGAAGGCTGAAGCAGGAAGAAGCAGTTGGACAGCTTCTCCTTATCGGCTCTCTGTTCCCCATTACTGAGATACGAGCTTATGTGGTGGTGCAGACAACTCTGGAAGGACAGCTTCTCCTAATCTCCAGACCACTCAGCCATCTCACCACTGAGATACAGGCTTTTTTGGCGGTGCAGACAACTCTGGAAGGACAGCTTCTCCTTGTCGGCGCCAGACCGCTCGGCCATCTCACCACTGAGATAGCTGCTTTTTTGACGGTGCAGACAACTCTGGAAGGACAGCTTCAGTCCTTGTCGGCGCCAGACTGCTCGGCTCTCTGTTCACCATTACTCAGGTCTCCTACAAAGGTCCCATGTTCATAGATGGACTGCAACCACAAGGAACAGAAATTAGTATATATGAACTACCGGTTGGCTACTACACCACCAAACTGAACGGATGTTGAGTTGAGGTCAAGACCGTTGTTGCCAGCCAACAACTTTGACGTCTCAGTCAAACTCCCACAGATGTTGATCTGAGATGTCATTCCAGAATTGATTGATCACTTTTTGAGACCTCAATCAGGAGGATATTTGAAGCGATGTCTGAGCAAGGTCCACCGATACATCTGCAGACCCGTATATCCCATATTGTGGGGGCATCTTACTACTGTTAGGCTGTGATCCCACAAGCATTCTGCCAATATTCCCAGCTGGGCTAATTGAGATCCACACATGCTCTGAAAAGAATTCGAAATATATTGCAGCTTTGCTGCCGCAAGTGATATATTATTGCACAATACAACGAAGACTACATAATATGGTAATCACATCCTCCCACCCACATACAACGACAGACCGCAACCCCGAAATGTGCAGGAATAGCCATGGTGAAGAGCGGCGCAATGGGAACGAGAGCTCCGCACTGTTAAGCAATGGATGTCAGTCACATGGGTATCAGACGAGCGAGTAGCTCTTACCAAGAAGATGCGCAAATGCGAGGTAGATCTAGACAGTACAGGGATGAGACAGGATGTCAAAAACGTACCGCATAACGAGACGGGGCAGGACTGTATAGAAGAGAAGATGCACGTAACAGGAACGAGAGCTCCGCACTGTTAAGCAATGGATGTCAGTCACATGGGTATCAGATGAGCGAGTAGCTCTTACCAAGAAGATGCGCAAATGCACAGTAGGTCTAGACATAGTAATAAGTACAGGATGAGACCGGGTTTCAAAAACGTACCGCAAAACGAGCCGGGGCAGCACGGAGCGGGAGGGTCACAGAAAACCACTATCAGAGGATGAGAAAGTTAGCAGTCTGAGGACCAGGAAATAATTGATACCCGTACATTTTCATAATCGCCGTGAACATCTGCCAGCCGTCGTTGCTGTCCATGCAGGGGCTGCGAAGATTGAAGTTGAGCATGAAATTAGTCGACAAAGAGCGAAACGATGTTCTGCTTCTTCGGGGCGGTTCGCATGAGATGTGCTCGGTGGTGACCCAGCGCATGAGGGAGCCTCCCTGACACTCCCTCATCCCGACCTTATTCAGTGTCGAGACGAGGCAATGTGCAGGCGGAGGGCCTGAGCTGTGTTGGTTGCAGGCATGGGCAGTATTGGTGGCTCAAAAAATAGGCTCTGAGAGAAGGACGTTAGTGATTCACATGGCAGAAAAATATAAGCTCGCCTTCCTGCATAAACTGTATACACAAAAGTGGAAAGAACAGTCAGTTCATGGATGAGGATGGTATAAAGTAGCTTACAGGTACGTATGAGGAATCCATGGCTGCGAAGAGAGTAAACTTAGGAAATGTCGAAATCTCACCTTCCTTCCGAGCAGACAACGGAGCCTGGCAGCAGGTCTGGTCAAACATAACAGTTATCCATTGCCAAAGTCGTGTTGCAGCGCAACTCACTGATTTTGAGGCTGCCTTCAGGAAGGGTGGATGGGAGAGAGAGACGAAGAAAGATGGTTCGTTTGTGATCACATGTTTTTGTCACATTCGTCACACTGGTGCACAAAAGTCGACGCAAAAAAAATGATTGTAATATTAGCTGTCGGTGAGGAATAACCAAGGTCTGAAGTATATATATGTGTGTCTAAAATATTGCAGACTTTTTAATAGACAGTCAATAAAGGAATTAAGCCGTTGCAAGGCAATTGTCGACTTGATCAAGCCAAGCGTGTAACTTTACCAAGGTGGTGAGGGGAATGGCAGCATCAGGGATGCCGTAAATCTTCTTGTCATTCTCGTAGGTGGCTTCAGCGAGGCTGCCGATTTTTTTAGCAGTGGAATGGTTAAAACAAATGAGATGACTGACATCTGCGCCGTTTCAGGAGCTGTGCCCACCTTCCGACGAAGGGCAAGCTCAATGTCGACTTGTTGCCAAAATTTCTTCTCATTCTTTTTGCCTTCTACACACTTACATGCACATTCACGCTGTACACAGATGAATTAGCACATAATAAAAATCAGTGGCGGGTCAGTCTCACTATGAGTGCAATTCGTTGGTACAAGATGGCCGTTGCCTTCGCTGGTGTACTGGCGATGCAGGCACGGGTGAGAGTAGCAATGTCCTGACCACCTCTATTCTCCTTGTCGGCACTGCTGACATCAGGCAGCGTCGCCCAAACCTGGTAAGTTTGGGTCAGAATAAGTGGTAATGATTTAATGCAAAACATACGGCTGATTTGACATGACAGCGCCAATCGGTGAGCCCTTTATTAATGCAGGTGATGACCATTGCCACACGACCAGTTTCGTTCACGGGAGGGAGGTCTGCAGTATTGAGGAGTCGCATAGCAGCCTTGACATTCAATTAACAATCTAAAGATCGCGGTGAACGAGCGCACTTACGAGGATATTATGAGCAATAGAATTCCCATCGCTACTATCGCGGTACTTGAAGGCATTCGGTGAGACAATGGCCAGATGTGCCATATCATGGCATGTCTTCTGCTTCAATAATCAATATGTATCCAGTAGATAACTTGCAACTGACGAACCTCCAGGATATCTGGGACCTGATACCTCGTGGTATTTTCGGCGGCGATGCGCGCCATGTAGTCACGGATCTCGAGGACCGCGACATGGGTTTGAAATGCTTGGTGAAAGGGGTTTGGCGACTAAATTCACGCGTCAAACACGTCAAAGTCACGTCGGGGAGAAGCTTACCTGCAGGAAGGCTTCTGCCTCAGCATCAGCTTGTGGAGAAAGGTTCCTGGAGCGCTTGTAGGCCCTCCCCTCCTCCAGCGTGTATGGTGCACTGACATTGGGCAGGAGAGACGCATTGACAGGGCCTTCGCCTTCCATCTCGTCGTGAGTGCGGTGAGTTCCTTGTGCTGAGGCCGGGCCCTCCTCTGCCGGTGGGAAGAGTTCGCCATGACGAAGCTGTTCAGCGGCAAGGACAGCATGGAGCCGTTCAAGACCTGCAGTATACTCAAGATCCTCGGCAGACATGGATGCTGGTGGAGGTTGAGACGAGGAGGTTTTCGGACTCCGCTAATGATTTTCATGCTTTTAAAGGTCCAAATCCGGACATCACCGATCGAGCCTCCTGAAAAACCTCGCGCAGGTCCGAAACCAAAGATGGCCAGTATCCCGAAGCGAGGCGCCAGAGCGCAGCCATTGGGACCAGGTCAGACTCACCCATTTCCTGAATTGAGCCTTGCTGATCTTTGAAAAGACTGTGTTGAGGATCCCCAGACCGGAAAGGTTTCTTGTCAGATCTGCCATGGCACTCGGTCAGGTGCCTGTACGTGGATTTCTCGTGGCTCTTGGAAGAAGCACATCGATACTCCAGCTCACAAAGCAGCCAAAGAGCGCACTCTGGAAGCTGCACAGGCAGCTTTGCGCATCAATAATCAGTATAATGATCTTTATCGAATGGCAAGCACCTCCTTGCAAGCACCCCCTGTTGCACCGAATTATGCGCCACCTCGGCCCCACTTCCGTCCCATTCTGGACGAGGATTCAAACGGAGTCAGCACATCGGATTTCGACGACATTATCATGCAGCAATCGGACAACTTCTATCGAAATCAAGTAGCAACTCCCATTGTCGATTATACTGAGACCCTGCGCCGAGAAATTGAGTTATTGAAGCTCAGACACCTGGAGGAGGAGTTCGAAGGTGCAGATGATGAAACAGTCCCGCAATTGGCAGAGGAGCTGAGGAATAATGGCAAGTCTTTGAATTCAAAATGTGGTGTGACCTGGCCTGACGATCCTCACAGGAGCAGTTCCCGAGCCCGATGAGGACGATATTAATGAGCAATTTGGAGGTGTTCCATCCAGCCATGATTATGCGCCATATGGAAACAAGATGGCACGTAATTCTGCCAGAGACTTGTCGGAAACTGACTTGGAAGCGCATAGATGTGTTTCCTTGATATATTGGATAATCTGTCTCGGCTTCAGCTCTCCTCCAGTCAGCTGCGAATGATTTTGTGGATAATGCAGGAGTGTGGTGCCAAGGATGTCCCGTCGTTCAATGCATTCCATTCCATGCAGGCGCACATTCGCAAGATGACGGGTGTGAGAAGTGAACCCCACAAATCCGATTTGGGAAACCTCTTTTACGTGAACGACGTGCGGGATCTGATTGCAAAGGTCCTCTGTCTCTAATTATTCGAGAACAGTCGTTGATAGTTTTTGAGCCAGGACTTCGCAAACCCAGAGGTGGCACCACATATTCAGAAATACCCGGAAGACGTAGCTGGTGGTCCTATTTCAGAAATATGGCAAATCAAAGATGGACAATGGCATGACATTCCTCTCGATGAACTTGCTCCGTCAATTCTCATTGGGCATAAGCGCTATTATATTCACGAGATTGCAGAACTTTCTGATGGCCAGTGGGTTATACCGGCACTGTGGATAAACTGCTGTGGAAAAACATATGC